ATACTTTGATCAGGTCAGCCCACACTAGCAATCATGAAAATGACACTTGCTTGTCACTACATGATACAAATGAATTCCATCTGAATATAATCACTTATGATGTGTGGTTCCCAGAGTTAACAGGTAGACAGGTGTGAAGAGTAACTTTACCTTTTGGGGGGCCTGAGTATGTTAGGGAAACTCATTAATTGTACACTAAGTGATGAGAACTGGTCATGAGCTAACACTTTCTGAGTTTGTTGTAGCCTTTTAAATTACTAAACAAGCAGGCACCATTGGGCTTGATTCTAATTAACTGAAAGCAAACAGTCTACATTCTTCTTTCCTGTGTCCTTTGTGCTCCGAAGGAGATATAATCAATTTTATTCTTGGTATGGTTATCAGCAGCTCAGATTTTCTGGACTCAATTTTCTTCATTTATTCCAGATATTTTCTTTCCTCTCTTAAAATATCTGTAATTATGTAATTTATAATATAAGAGCTTTTTCAAAAGTGAAGACTTTCTTAATGGGAAAATCATCAGAAATAGCAGCAATCAACACCATTTGTAGAAGAATTTATATGCAAACATCATGCAGTTTAACCATCATTCATTCATAGTATCTCAGGAACTTTGAAAACGAAATAGGCATTTTATAAACATTGTAAATAACTTTTATTGAACGTGTTCTTTGACAATTTCATACAAGTACAGAGTACATTCTGATTACTATCCCCCAATCTTTCTGGAATCATCTAACCTCCTTTATCCAATTTCCTCCCTACAAGTCCCTTTCCCCCATTCATATCTTCTTAGTTTGTTTTGTGACTCAAATTACTGCATTTAACTAGGGCCATCTATGTGATCATAAATTTGGAGCTATCTATTGGAGTCTGGTGGCCTTATCAGTGTGTACTTAACCAAAGACAAAATCTACCCCTCCCTTGGCATCCATCAGTAGCCAATAGCTTAGAAGGGGGAGGTAGGACCCCCATGAGCCCCTCCTCAATCCATGATTGACTGTTGACAGTCTCACCACAGGCAGCCATTGCCACTCTGAGATCATGACTGCACTGGCTGTGTCATGTCCAGAAGAAACACAGCATCTCACAGCCTTTCCCCCTGTCTTCCAGCTCTACATTCTCTGCACCCCCTCTTCCACAGTGTTTCCCGAGCCATAGAGCAGATGGTATAAATGTGCCATTTAGGACTGGGCACTCACTGTTACTTATTCTCAGCACCTTGAGCAGCCCTGCCTCTTCTGCCAGGGCCAAATAGGTTTTTGACCAGGTTTACATTGCCAGATAAATCCCTTCTCATGAAGCAGGTCTTGTAGCTAATCAGAGAGCAGTTGGTTACCCCCATAACAGTTGTACTACTATTGCACCAATACGTCCACTTAGCCTGAAAGATTGGTATTCTATAGAGTTCACAGCTAGGTAAGATCTCTGATTCCTTTTCTCCTCCAGTAGCCTATATGGAATCTTCTGGCACTATGCAGTTAGTCAGCAGAGAGGAGGCTTCTAGATCAGTTGCAATTTGGTTTCTCCATATCATGTGACTAAGGTGTGTGGTGACTGTAACAATAGGGTCTTGTCCTTGAGCTGTGGTAGTCAACCAAGAGGAATGGCAAATGTCTGTATTGTTTGCAGGGCCTCTAGGACCTCCCCGATCAACTACTCATAAGAAGGTACCCCACACCTGGTATTGTGTTTTTTGTTTAATAACCCATAGCTTTTAGAGAGAGATTTTTTTTCAGCCATGTAGGGTATCTCCTTTCCAACTTTTTGTTTTTTCATAAATTACATTTTGTAGTTTGTTTATAGGATAGTGTGTTTTCATATGGATTTGTTTTATTCCCTTCACTTTGGCTAACCCTCCTCCCTCCTACTCGTTTGTCTCTCTTATTCCATTACTGCTTCAGTGTGTTCATCTTTCACCCTCAGGGATACCCCCTCTGTATTTTCATATTACCTGCATTTACTATCCCTACCCTTCAGGTAGCCCTTTTCCAGTGGCCTCTTCCTAGATTTTTCACAAAATTAAGCATTCAAAGTTATGATCTATATATGATGGAGAACATATTTTGGGGTATGTGTGTGGTACATGTGTGTGGTATGTGTGCATGCAGAGGTCAGAGGAGAATGTTAGGTGTCCTGCTTGACTACATACAGACCCTGTCTCAAGGGAATAAGGCAAAGAGTAATAATGCAGTACACCATCTGGTTTCCTTCTCCATCACTTGCTGCCTTAGTCTCTTGAGACAGGATCTCGCCAAGTGAACCTGAAGCTAATCTGGCAGTCAGCAAGCCCCAGTGATCCTCCTGTAATGAGTTAGCAACTGGGTTTGGGTCAGAGTGAAGTACAGTATAGCTCTCATTCTAGGTAGTCCTTTGCATGACTTGTGCCGGGACACGTGGGGCAGGGGTAGGTGTTTCCGTATGTTTTGGAAAGGCTGAAGGTTGTTAGGGTCCCCCTAACAACCAAAGCACTGGCATTATAAGAATGCATGATGTCACACTCAGTTTTTTACATAGGTACTGGAGATTTGGACTCAGGTCCTTGTGCTTGTACAGCAAGTACTCTTTTCAGCTGACTAATTGCCTCAGCACCCAATATAGGTAATATTATTCCATTTCATAAGTGAGGAGACTGAGGGTCAACGTGACTAGGCATCTTATATGAAACTATGGTTAAGATGTATCATTATCAAGATTTGAAACTACACATTTCTGATTAGAAAGTCCATGTTAGTTGAGTTTGGTGGCCCACACCTTTAATATTAGCACTTCAGGAGGCAGAGGCAGGAGGAGCGCAAGTTCAAGTACAGCCTGGGGAACACAGTGAGACAGTGAGCCTTTGTCTTGGGGAGGAAAAACCCAAATCCATGCTACTAAGAACTTGAACCTTATATTGAAGAAACACATACTAAGGGAAATTAATAATGAATGGAAATATTTCACAGCCTCAGAGGTAAACAGAATTATAAGGATGTGTAGAAGCAAAAGGTGCCCAAAGTTGCCTTACTATTTGACACTATCCAAGTTCAGAACCATGGAAAACAAGATTGTATAGCGCAAAGACATGAGGAACAAAAGTGTTCTTCATTTTAAAGGGCTCCTTTCTTCCTTCCCATATTCCCTTTCACACCATAAATAAATATCCTCTCTTACCATTTATTTAAGGAGTGATGCAAAAGCCAGACAGGAAGTGTGAGAGGAGAATGAACTCTCTTTCCTTCCCCTTCTTCATTCATGCATCAGGTTTAATGATAGGATGCTGCTGCTAGTGTATTTCCATTGGACATTGCCTCTGACAGGTCTGCCAAACAAGCCATTTTTAGAACTGAGAACTCATCTATGAATTTCCTATTTGTACACTAGCGATCACAACTCTCACATTATCTAGTATGTGAAGAGACTTGAGGTTGAATAACAAAGCTGTGTGCAGGTGTAGTCTCCTGCCTTTAGTGTGGCTTTACAGCTCTTGAAAAACAACTTTGGAGGAAGTTTCCTGTTTGATGTGGATGGTGGTAAGAGTTATTTATACATTGTGAAGCCAACATGAGTCCTTGGTGTCAAGAGAATTCCCAGCTAATGAGTTAGCAATTGGGTTTGGGTCAAAGTGAAGTACAGTATAGCTTTCATACCAAGTAATCCTTTGCATGACTTGTGCCGGTACACGTGGGGCAGGGGTGGGTGTTTCCATATATTTTTGAAAGGCTGAAAGGGTGTGAGTGGGATCTGGAATCCCTCTAATTCCATGTGGCTAAAGCTTGGTCATCAGCCTTCTTGGCCAAGAGACACCTTTTCCTGTAACTTCACTAAAACCACAAGGTGAAGAGGAAAATGACTATTCATTAATGTCAGATGCTGATTCAAATGGTTTCATAGGTCTCAATACAGCATTAAACAAACTTCTATATAAAGCATGAGTCAGACTTGTTCTTTCAAATTTTTTTTAGACATCAAGGGACTTTATAAAATAAATTCCTTTCTGAGTTTTATGGACTTGAAATGGAAACGAATATACCTCCAGTTTTCTATATCAGCAGCTGAATGATCTTTTACTATCCAAATGATATTTTATGCTTTAATTCACTAAAACATTTTCTTCATTAAATATATACTCATTTGATGATGGAGAATTTAAGTCATTAAAACCTAATAATATCTACCTCACTGTCTGTCACATCTCCCTGTGTACATGTATCTGTATCAATATACTAAATATCCATTTAAAAATTAAAACAATTCTTTGATATGAATAAAAGCACATTTTATAAATTTATGTTTCTTGAAATATTAGTCATTTTCTGATTGATTACTGCTGTCTCACAGATTCAGATACATAGCAGTGGATTTATCTGCTCAAATGAGAGCCAGTCTCAATGTGGAAAACTATGGTATGAGGTGGTTATATGTCAGGTGTCTGTCCACTTTTATCCTCACAGCATTCACCAGACAACCATAATCCAAAGCAGTGAAGTAAGCAGTGAAGCATGTCACTCTAACACCGAGACCAATAATTGCATCACGAGATGTGCTTGTGTTGCTGTGTTGCTGGGCCAGAATTCGATTTTTAAATAAGGCCACTGGGAAGAGGAATGATTTACATTTCTATAACACAAATTCTCTACGCCATGATCATAGTGTCTGAGATGAACCTGGGTTAACATGCTGACACACAACACTTATTCAGAGTCTTTAGTGAGTAGCTCTGTTCTGGGATGCAGCTTGGAAAAGACCAACCATTCTTATGCTTATAAAATTCTCAGCCTGGGGTGGTGGCCCTGCTCCCTGGACCATAGTATTATTTCTGAATGTTGCTACACTATGTTGAATTCATTGGAAGTCATTCTGAGCATATCTATGCCTGTTATTTACAAAACAAACTGAAAGTAATATCATATTGATTTTGAATTGTAATGATAGGCCCTGAGAAGAGACGTTTTTCTAAGAAGGTACTGGAAGGCCATTGGGGAAACTGAAATGCCTGGGTTCTTTTTGTTTCTCAATAGAGCCAGATGTGGACAGCCTTGATGAATTAGGTACAGTTTACAGCAGCATTGGCCGGCAACTGAACGAGACAATGAGGCGCCGCAGACATGCGGGAGAAAACGATTACAACATCGAGGTGCTTCTAGGAGTGGATGACTCTGTGGTCCGTTTCCATGGCAAAGAGCATGTCCAGAACTACCTTCTCACCCTGATGAACATTGTGAGTAGTGACTCCTTGTTGGGGCTTTTTAATAATTTCAATCATTTTGTTTGTTAGTTTCCTTTGGACACTGATATGAGAACCTCCATGTCATTTGCTCCTCACTCAAAGCACTTAATATTGTGCTTAACAATATTAATTCAAAATTTGATCTATATCTTTAACATACAAGAATGCAAAATCTAAGGACTCATGAAGTAAATGATCTTTTTGATCAGTCTGGTAGTTCCTCATTACCAAGTCAGGTCATGTGTTTTAAAAGCCATGGAATGATATCACAGTGTTGGGGGTGGGGGGGTTGTCAGTACTCTCAAGACTGTCAGCATTCCTTGATGTGGGCTGTGAAAAATGAAATAGTTCTTTCACGCACTGCTCTGCGTCCTGAGATGATGGATGATTTATGCTTATAATGCTTTCAAACAAATATGATATTTCCAACACTTTATAGAGAGTAACGATTTACAAAGCACACAGCTGCTGGCACAGCAATTGCTAATAGGTCTTTTAAGTAATGTATCCTTTATTTCTCTTTTCTGAGCCTTAATCATATTCAGAAGATATTGTGATAGCATCATCTAACCAGTGCCATTCTATCTTTTGAACTGGCACAGGGTAATTGCTGAGGAATAATATAGTAGCATCCTTTTATGTATTTTACCTAACACCATCTTGTAATAATATCATATTGATCTTGCTAAATTTGCTGCCTAATTGTTCCCTATGTTCTCTCTTTCTGTTTATAATACTTAATTTTCTTTCTTTGAGCATCTAGGTCATTCACCTTCCCCCCTCCCCCATGCTTTGTATTAGATTTCATTCAAATATATTAGAGATGAAAAAATTTTTTAATTTCATGATTAATGACCTTATTTTTATAGCAATATTTAAGCATGTCAAATGTAATTTTATTCGTTAGATGTCCGTTTATAAAATTACACCTATGACACACTGCTGTGAAATGGAAAGTGAGTGACTTTCTAACACATTTATCTGTTCATTAGTGCTAATTCCTGTTAAGACAATACAAAGCCGGGTGTGGTGGCACATGCCTGTAATCCTAGCACTCAGGAGGCAGAGGCAGGCAGATTTCTGTGAGTTCAGGGTCACTCTAGTCTACAAAGTGAGTTCCAGGTCAGTTGGGGCTACAGGGAGACTCTGTGTCAAAAAGACAGAAAAAAAAAAAAGACAATACAATACACTTTAGACCAGTTGCTAGGCAATAGGTAGATGTACAAGCAATTCTTGGTGAATTCTGTGAATGTTTTCAATGCTTGAATGTTGACTTTTTTATGCTTTAAGAGGCATAAACATGGGCATGCTACTTAGGGTCTCACTGCCTGCTTCGGTCTCCTTACCTATATAATGAACAAATAGGAGCAGTGAAAGGATTAAATGAGTAAACACAAGTCATGTGCTTTGTACAGTGCCATATGTACATAAATAAATGTACAACCATATTTTAGTCTTCCATGCCAACTTTTATTTTCAAACTTATGTAAAACCTAAAAGTTCCCGTGGATGCTGTTTCTATTTTCATGGTTCGTTGTGTCCTGGAAACTTTTTCCTTCCACTCAGGAGATGATGACAGTAAAGATTAGGCTCCTGACTGGTGCTCAAATCTATACCATGCTCTGGAAATAAGATATCAGAGATTCTTTTCTAGTCTTTATCCTCATAGAGTATATAAATCATGGAGAAAATATAGATATCTGGGAAAATTAGGAAAAAGCTAAGTAATAAAAGCATGCCACTATTAAAATGTATGTCTTAGGCACTACAACATAAATATTGTAACATTTTGGAAAAGGGAGCTGTGGCCATAGTCATCCCCTCATGAAGGGATGAGCACATTTAATGGAGGCTTGGCTAGTGAGGCATTAGTTCTAGCCTTCCTTACTCTGGTTAGCTCTGTGACCTTAGAAAAATCAAATCCCTTCCTGGGACTTAGTTTCCATGTTGATAAAACTATGCAGTTCAACACAGTGTTCATTAATTCTTTATTTTTTTCCAGAAGTGGGAAGTTAAGCCAGGTCTTGAAGGATCTATTTTGCTATTGTTTCTTTTGTTTGTGTTTTTTAAAAAACATTTAATAGCTGGGCATGGTGGCGCACTCTTTTAATCCCAGCTCTCGGGAGGCAGAGGCAGGCGGATCTCTGTGAGTTCAAGGCCACCCTGGTCTACATAGTGAGTTTCAGGACAGCTGGAGCTACAGGGAGACCCTGTCTCAAAAAGACCAAAATAATAAATAAATAAATAAATAAATAAATAAAAATGTTAAAAAAAGATTTAAGATCCTGGAATTGTTTTGCACAACTGGATCAAGCTCACAGCTAGTAAAGTGGCATACATAAACTTTATTTAACTTCAAAGCCATTCCCTTACATGCTGCTCTGTAGAGCTTCCAGTGGAGGAGACCATGGGTAAGGAGATGAGGCCATTTCATGTAGACTAGGGCCAAATTACACAGCCCTTAGAAGCTACACCATGGAGCATGGACTAGATTCCATAATAAACAGTGAGAACGTATGGTCAGATCCAAGCATCAAAATTCTGGGGACTCCTGGGTGGAAGGTTTGCACAGAGAAGCAATGCTCTAGAAAGTTACAGTGCTTAAAAGGATGAATCAGAGCTGAAACATGAGAATGGAAAGAAAGTGAAGAACATAGGACTTTTGCTTTCAACAGATGTATTTCCAGTTCCTGTTTTGCTAGGACAATAAAGATTTTAAAATACAATAAATGTAAATGAACTGGCCTTGTTAAATGAACTATACATATAGCAAAAGCAGTAATCACCCTTAGTTTACTTGTGGCAATTCTGTGAATGTGTTTCAAATTTGGGATTATAAACAAGTAAACAAACTCTTTTATAAAAATATTTTATTATTTTTATTTTATGTATATGAGTGTGATGCCTGCATGTAGGTAAGTGCACCCGTGTCATGCCATGCCCACAGGCAGAAGAGGTTATTGGATCCCCTGGAACTGGAGTTACAGACAGTTGTTATCTGCCATGTGGGTGCTGGGAATTGAACCCAGGTCTTCTGTAAGAATAGTCAGTATTATTAGCCATCTCTCCCTACAAGTAACCAAACTCTTAAAGCGGATTTTAGAAAAAAAAAATCTCAGTTTTCATTAAATTCTATGACACTTCGTCACAGAATTTAAAATATCCCTATTTTTATAATGTAGAATTCTTTATTACTCTCCCAAATGTGCTGGCATAGTGATATTTTAATTTGAGGGAAGTTGTGACTTACTTTTTTTAAATAGATAAAAAAACATTTGAGTAAGACATGTTTCACATGTATTTTCTGTTGCTGTGGCTTCATTAGGCGCTGAGATAAGAATTTAAACATTGTTAGGCATTGCCCATGGAAACCTATTTGTTGTTGTAAATATTTCCTATACAAAGAATAATGGTGGTGTTCTGCTTAAGGGTGGGAGAAGGGAAAGGAGGGAGGAAGAGAGGGGAAAACCTTTGAATCAGAAGTCATTGATTGCACAGTCAGTTTAGAATCATTTTGATGAATTTTGAAAGAGGAACTTTAATTTTACAATAATATACTGAAGTATCAATTTTTTTTTGTCTTTTTGAGACAGGGTCTCCTTGTATCCACAGCTGGCCTGGAACTCACTATGTAGACCAGGCTGGACTTGAACTCACAGAGATCCACCTGCCTCTGCCTCCCAAGAGCTGGGATTAAAGGCGTGTGCCGCCACACCCGGCCTTGTATCAATTTTATAGGAAACTCTTTAATTTAAAAGTTTGGTCAGGAAATTGCCTTTCTAGAGTTTTCTCTATATTTATGAAATTTTCAGTGCTTCTCAGGGTCACACAGAGTTGTGCACAGGATCTTATCTAGTGGGGGTTCAGGAACATTTGTTCACAGCAGGTTAAGAACCAGGAGCATGGAACTGGAGAAAGGCAATGAAATGCAAGCAAAGCCTCTGAATCTGAAAGTTTGGTTTTCAGGGAGCACCACAAGCCTTTTTCTTTTCTTTTTCTTTTCTTTTTTTTTTTTTTTTTTTTTTTTTTTTTTTCCCCAGTGCCACAAGCCTTTTTCTTTTCTTTTTCTTTTTTTTTTTTTTTTTTTTTGTTTCTTTTTGAGACAGATTCTCCCTGTACCCCCAGCTAGCCTGGACCTCACTATGGAGACCAGGCTGGCCTTGAATTCACAGAGATCTGCCTGCCTCTCCTTCCCAAGTGCTGGGATTAAAAGCGTGCACCACCATGTGCTAGATCATGCATTTTTATGTATTGAAACTTACGCAGTTTTTATCAAATTGTCAAGGGGAAACCAATGAAAAGGACGTAGAGTATGCGTTCATCTCTTTCTATCCTTTTGGAAGTTAGGCCTCCTCCCAGTGTCTGTGTTCTTTCACATCAATTCCTTTCCTTGGAATCATGGGCACTTTTCATTGTTCACATATTGGTGATGGTGGTTTTTAGCATCGCTTTCTCCTGTCTTCTTTCTTTGCTTCCTCAGTGTCTTCCTGTTCAATGCATTCATTTATGAGAGAATAAAAGGAAGTCAGCTATTCCCACATTGATATAAGTGGACTTTCCTACCTTGCTTTCTAGTCTAGCTATCCCTAAAGTAGCTAGTTGTGCAATCACTAACAACTGGCATCAGGATTTGAAATCCATACATATTTAAACTACTAATGTAACTATATAAAAGTGAATATCGACTTTCAACACTTACTGAAACATCAGTGCAATTATCCTTGCCCTCAAGATGCTTATAGTTTAAAAGAAAAACTAAGAATCGTAGGCTTTTATAGTTGAAAGGACTTTGGCAGGTCTGTACAGCCAGGAAGTTGACTAGTTGTGCTGCTGGTGCAATGGCTTCTACAGTATAATGTATAGGGGTGCTAATGACTTCGCTATTGTGCCTTTTTTGTCATCTAAAATAACCTTTGTTTTTTCCGGTTCATGTTTCAGTCTTTTTAAAGACATTTCAGTATCAAGACCAGGATCCACTGTCAGTTTCTATG